CTGCAAAATCTAAATGTTCTAGGGGGAGGCCCCCCAAACCCTTCGTGCCATTTCGTCCGCGCGCATTTTTCAGGGCAATCTCTATTGGGCTCAGGGCCATCTGTAAATTAGCTTAGATGGCCCACAGGGCCATCTCCCAAAATCCTTAATGTCATGCACTGTGAACACAGGACACACGTGCAGAGGTGAACACAGGACAACATTAGCACGACCAGTAATCCTACAAGCTGTCATCCCTACCCTCCTGACTGTCAACCCTGCAATCTAAGCTAACTGAAGACTCCATCAGTAAGAACATTACAAACCAGTAACAGCCACTTTTTAAAGAACACAGAGATTGAGTTTGATGCTCAACATATATATATATTTCAGGTATTACTTTAAGCCTTTATGATGAACCTCTCCACTTCCAAACTGCACGCTCATCACATACTGCTGAGGTGGCAGAGGAGTCGGGTTTTCTTTCATCTCTTGTCGCTGACTAACAGCTTCCCAGCCGACGGTCAGTGAAAAACATTCGACCTCGACTGTTACAGATGTCAGAACACTTCTGGGTCATTACAAGACAAACACCAGGCCGCGAGCCAACTCAGTCTGTGCGTGGAAACTAGCAGAGCAGATAAGCTGAGTGCTAGGAGAGTAAAGTGTGTGTGTGCGTGTGTGTGTGTGTGTCTGTGTGTGTGTGTGTACAGAATCAGCTAATGAGACAGAAAGTGGTGGAAAAAGCCCCAGCTGGTGCTAAACTCCATTTGGTTTTCAGTCCACAGATAAAGATAGTTACAAAGTTAGATTCACTGCATTGCATATTCAAACCAACGCTGAGTTGATCTGCTAACAAGTATATTCTGTGACTACATTCTAGTGGAAGTACACTTCTTCTGTGCAATATATAGATTTTCTTTTACAGCTCAATGTTGTTTTCCGCTGTGTTTCGAGCTGAGAGAACAGAGATAACCTTTTTAAGTTTCAAACCCATCATTTATCTTCTCAGTCTCACCTTGTTGTAGTTCCCAGACTTGATGCCCACTGGGATCTGGCTCTGTAAAACAACACAGATATCAACAAATAAACAAACAAAATCAATAAGAAACAGATTTAACATTATTACAATTATCTGTGTTTTAAAAAGCATATATGTTGTGAAACTAAAGTAATACGCAGTAAACAACTTAAAATGAAAGTACAGGTAGAAAAAAAACATGACGATGACTTCAGGGACCTAAAATAAATCCAAACTATTGCTTAAAAAGTTGTGTTAATTCTTCTGTGTGTGTGTGTGTATATGTATATGTATATGTGTGTGTGTGTGTGTGTGTGTATATGTGTGTGCGTGTGTACACTGACCTCTGGACAGGGCTCCACATGGCAGTCTTTGATGGCACAGTGTCCGTCGTTCGGCCAGAAAGGACACGGTCGCTTCAAGTTCACCTGAAAAAATACAGAAAAACCTCCACATGAGTTCATGGTGCTTCGTATCAGAGGAGATTTGGCCATGCGACACAGAAAGATTACATTTAAATCCATTATTATTTAAAAAGCAGGTTCTCATATTTGTTTTCTAAGCAATAAGTCTCTAAAGGCAGGTTATACATCCCACATACTTACTTAAGCGAGAAATAGCTTTTTTTTTATATTAAAATACATGTGAAGAAGTCAGATTCAAGTCAGATTCAAGTCAAGTCAAGTCAAGTCAAGTCAAGTCAAGTCGTGTCTGTCTGTCTGTCTGTCTGTCTGTCTGTCTGTCTGTCTGTCTGTCTGTCTGTCTGTCTGTCTGTCTGTCTGTCTGTCTCTCTCTCTCTCTCTCTCTCTCTCTCTCTCTCTCTCTCTCTCTCTCTCTCTCTCTCTCTCTCTCTCATCAGTGAACCCTTCTCACAGTAATATCTCTGATTGTGCTCCTCCTACAACAGCGTGTCCTCTTCAGCGAATGCTAACATAACATTAGCTCGAGCAGCTACACTCACTATGTGGCATCAGACATGACGTGCCAGCAGAGTGACATTCTTAACATAACTCGGCAGCAGTGGTATCAGAACATGATTTTACTTTTGAAGGCTATGATTACACTTAAGTATTAAGGACTAACGTTTAGTAACTTACTTTAGTTTTAGTTACTAATGTAACCTCTCGTTTAATCTAAGGTCAATTTGTTCTATTCAAAATGTGCATAGCCTAGATGTTGACTTCTTTCCCATTCATTCTAATAAGTGCTAAACCAGACACTCAATTAGCATCTTCCTCAGAGCATTCAGCCCTCTTTTCCTCCTGTGGCACCAACAGACTGACTCAAACAAAGCTTTTTAAATATGTTTTTCCAAAGGATTTTCCTGGATTGATGCTTTGCTTCTGACGATCTGTTCATGTGGCACATTATGTCATCAGAGCAGAAGGTGTTATCAGCGGTAGACGGAGCAGAAGTGTAAAAAATAAAGCTATAAACGTCACCAGAGGATAACATGGAGGTTTGAAACTGTAGTTACAGTATTCACTAAAACACACTTTCTCTTGCAATAGTTTGAGTATTTCACAATATTTCAGTCATCCTTCCTGTTCTGCAACAGGATCATAAAAACAGCTTTATGTGAATTAATAATAAAACAGCTGTTGTTGTTTTACGCGACGCCTTTTTTTGATGAACTAAGCCTTTTGACAGACCTGCACCAACCTGAATATCAGGGCGTGTCCTCGGCTGGTTACACCAGCAGACGCTGCCACTACTTGAGAAATGTTCTCATGCGATAATGTGAGAATTTAACGTCTCTAGAGTCTTTTTTAAGGACAGCGCAAAACTGGAAAGTGAAGGGACATCATTTACACAGATTTTCAAAAGAAAAACTAAATGTTTGGACGAGTAGATGATTGATTTGAACTGATTTTCAACGCTTATATGTCCTCACACATCCAAAGTGTATCGTTTTTCTTCTTTTTACAAGAAGAAGCTGATCACTGGACTTTACAGTAAACAACCACATGCACAGAAAACACAAGTGACGAGAAAGGGACATCCTTGTGAGCTAGTGTCCCTTGAAGTAAACAAAAACAAACAAATAAGTTAAATAAGAATTTGATTTGAAAATGTTTAACTTTGCATGAATTTTCATATTTACGACTTCTTAAATCTGATGCTCACCCCTTTTATAATATAAAGGGCAGAAGTTCAGACATGACGTGAGACGTTGAGTCGTATTTGAGAACTACTTCCTTCTTTTACGCTTTTAATCCCGAGTGCTGATTGTTTTTACAGAGAAGTGGCAGCTCTTACTCTGTAGTATCTGAAGTAGTCTTTCTCCGTCAGCCTCTTGATTCGAGGGTAGATCTTGAAGTTGTTGAAGACGTCGATGCTTTCAACGTCACAGAAGCAGTCGTCCAGGACCCCCGTCAGCTGGAGCAGAGAGAAACACGGATTACTGAGTGACATCACACATGAGCAACAAAAAAGACAGAACAATGACCCAAAAAAGATCTTAGATCCTGAGCAAGTTTTCAATTTCTGCTTCACTGTCTTACTCACTAATGTGTCTCCGTTCATTAATTACAAATAGCTGAAAGCTGTCATAGGGAAAGCCAATGACAGAGTTCAATTAGCCTGAAGTGCACACGCTAGATATAAGTGCAGATAAAGCCAAGGTGGTCATTTGTATTATTAGATATCAAACTCAATTCTACATGGACTGGAATCTAAATCACCTGTATCCTATAGAGTTACTTTTTCAATTAATCAAGATGAGGTTGAATAATATGTGCATTTTTAGCTTTTTAGCTTATCTGTAGATATAACAAATACATCATTATTACAATAAAAGGTGCCACAATTTTATAAAACAGAAAATATTTCCAAACATGACATCGTTGTAATCTCTGAAGGATTCAAACAATCGATGAAACAACATTACACACACAACCACACAGACTATAACACCCCTTGTTGTTAAATACCATTGAACTATGTGCAATATATATATGCCGTTAATAACTGTGCAATATATACCTGGCTGCTAAATCTTCAGAACTGTTACAGGATGTGTGTTTTGTAAATTGTGTATTTAAAAAAAAAATCTTTAATACTTTTGTATGCATGCTTCTTAGGTAACATTAAGCCGTCTTTGGCTCTTTTCTGCTGTTACAATGTAGCTGCCCCCCCTGTGAGACGAATAAACGTATTCTCATTCTGAACATTAAGGATATTTGTATAATTGTGTCAAAGATGTATTAGGCTCTCCTTCTGCTAAACACTAACAACTCCACTGGGAAGCCACTTTCCCCTTTTCAGAGCAGGAGGCCCGCAGACACACAGGCTGTTGTCTAACTGCACTGCCATACATAATACATCCACCCCCTGCTGTGTGTAAGCGCACAGGGCTGTGTTACCTGATCCCAAACAGCTCATACAAAATTCAGACCTCCCTCTGATCATCACAAAGGCTACACCTCAATCTCCAGATTAATGTGTTTGACCAGAGGAGCAACTAAACAACCAGAGTTTGAAATCTGAGGAGAGTTCGGTAAACAGAGGGAGGTATTAAAGGTGGGGGCGTTAACACCACCCTGTTGCAGTTAAGAGGCTTTGGGTTGTCTTATCGTTTAAAGTTAGCAGTAACCAACCACCACCTGTAGCTTTAATCCAGAGCACACACACCTGGTTTAGGGGGCTAAAAAACAGCTAACCTGCTCTGAACACAAACACTGTTGAGAGGGCATTTTTTTTAACACGTCATGTTTTTGGTAGGTTTTGTATTATCACAATAAACAAGACAAAATTTAGAAGCATTTTTCGTATTAAACTGATGATTTCTTTCTTGAAAACAGACTGATAATTTGTCCATTAAATGTAAGAAAATAGTGAAAAATGACCTACAGCCCAAGTCGACATTAAAATGGGAAAGTATACACATTTCATAATACGACTATCCAGGCCAACATTCTTAAAAAGGCACTAAAAACATTAAAATAAATACTAAATTATGTTTTTCTTAACAGAACCGACAACTTTTTGCCATCACAGATAGGACACACATCTGTATTAAAAACAACCAACAATCTTAAATGATGTAATCATACGTCCCCTTGCATACATAAAGGAAGACTAAATACATTTAAATATCAACATTGTGTGAATTTTCTCTTTCTCACATGATTATTATTTTTCTTAGATTTTTTTTTTTTTTCTTTTATCAGGCGATCTTTTTTGAACTATTTACAACAATAGTGGGCACAGCTTGTTCAAGGTATAAATATTACAAAAGATACACCAACATACTGTGACTATACCTCCTATATTGTGGAGAAGTGATACATGAGGTAGTCGATTCAGAGCTTTGTTAATGGCTCTCTCGGTTTAGTCATTTGCATAAACAGATTCACTTCCTAAAATGACCATATCAGTGTTTCCCCATGTGTTGTTCCCCCAGGTGCTCATTTAAGTAAACGTCACATCACTGACAAATATGTATGCCTGGAGGGAAGGTAAATCCAAAATCGAAATCTCTGTATAATAACTATGGCTAGATGTTGTTTATTTTAAGTGCCCAATTCAATATGTAATACATTATAATTAGGCTTGGTTTTATATTGAAGAAAACTACCAAGGAAATTCTAAGAAAATGATTGAGCTGTAAATTAAAGCAAATTGTCTAGCTTTAAATATCAATGTTTTAAATGTGAAATGAATGTATTAGACCAAATTAAATATCAGAGTATGACCAAGCATATGGAGCCACTTGTCTGCTATTTAATACAACAAGAATAATACGGCTATGATCTTATCATCTACTTATTGAAACATTATGTCTAGTATTGTATTATACAGACACATCTGGGAAATCTCAGTAAAGTATAGCCACATTAACCAAACCTCTGTGTGAAGTTGTCCACCGAGCAGTCCACTGAGAGCCACGAGAGGCAGGAAGAGGCAAATCCCTCTCAGCATGCTGTTTCGATATCTCTACTTCTGTGTTCTAACTTCAAATCAAAACTTCCTCTATGCAAACTTTCAGCCCATATGTCACAGCAGCAGCAGCAGCTCTGTCTGTGGACTGAGCTGTCATTACAAACCTTTCAGTGCCAATGCCAACCCCCCCAAAGGGCCCCGCCTCCAAGCAACCAGCTGTCAACAGTAAATCCCGCCTTCTCCACAAGCGCCCTACTATTGTGTAGTCCACTTCCGGGTCGGAAGCCGTATACACCGTTTGCTAGTAGCGGGGCGAAAGACTACAACTCCCACGAGAGGACAGAAGACGGGAGCTATGCCTCAGCCAATCACGTTACACCACGCTTTTCTACTTGCTAATAGAAATAACATCAGTTCAGCAGAAAATCCACAACATAACAATTCGATTATAACACTTCTATTTGTATGTATTGCTTTCAATAATTATCCTATTTTAATTTTAATTTTAAATCCTCGAAATAGTCTTCATACGTTTTAGAAAAAACGGAAGTTAGGTAAACCAGGAGTAACGCAGTAAATACAAATCAATTATTACATAATGTGACAGTCACTTAATGAGTTTCAATGGGACGTGGACAAACACTATCTTTCGCTAGTAATTCTCATTTAGGAGATCGATAAAAACATTAAAAGAAAAGAGAGCAACGTCGTTGCTATTTCCCAACCATGTCTGTAGTTTCCGGAATAAATAAAGACTACGTTTGTATTTGATTACTGCTAGAATATATATAAAAAAGATTGCTTTAGTGTCACTTTCACACACGAAGAGATATGGAGATTTTTGCTTCTTTTTTTCATGTATTTAATATTACAGTCAGAAAACAGAGTGTTCTTTTGACAACAGATTAAGAGTGATTTGATCTGTTATACATGCAAAATTAAAGAATTGAGACCAGTAATGTTAATAAATAAAAACCTAAACAAATCCTACATCTTTTCTTCCTGCTGTTTTATTCCAGGATGGAGACTGTTGCTGGTTTACTATCTTTGGTCTCTTTTATATTTACAAAATGTTATTTCCTGCATCTCCATTCAATGTATTTTTTATGTTTTGTGAAGCTACGTTTGTATTTTATTTATTTTTTTATTTAGAGTGACTTTCACACACGAAAAGAGAAGGAGATTGTTGCTGCTAGCTTGCATCACACACACTGTGACGTCAAATTAAGATGACAGCAGAAAATGCTAGAATATTTCCTGAATGGAGAGGCTGTGTCGTATTGCCACGTTTAAAGCTTTAGAAACCAAATACACAACCTTTATATCATCGTTTGACACCGTTAATGCCACACAAACACTGTTTTAATGTTACTTACATGGCAGAAGCAGCTCTGGTCCTGGCTGTCTGGAGAAGGAGAAGCTTTGCTCGGTTGCTCGCTTTGCTGCGTTTTGGGTTTTACGCTGCTGTCTTGTTGAAACCAACCCAAACAAACAAAGTTCCCGAATAACAAGGCCAGCAGCAAAACACCAAACGCTAGTAAAGTTGCTTTCCACATCATTCACTGTGCTGGCGGTGGGAAAAGAAAGACAAAACAAGTATCACTTCTGTCAGTTGTCCTATGTGTGTGGCGACTTTAGTACCAACGGTCGCTAGCTGAAGTTAGCATCCGCATGCTAACAGTGGCTCTGAAAATAAGAGCGATTGAGCGAACTGAGCAGCCCGGTGTTTGAAGAGCCTCAGACGGACATTTAGAGGTCCAATTGCCCTGATATAACCGGAGACATTGATTTAAGATGATACATAACTGGAGAAGTTTATGTGTACCAGGTTCCCCCCTTAGCATCAAGTTAGCAAAACAACACAGTGGCTGAAACTTCCGGTTAAACATTTTCCAAATAAAATACCTGTGATAGTTAATACGCTAGGCTACTACATGAAGTTTTAACTTCAACATAAACTAAAGTACAAAGTTAAACACATACAATACTTTTGGGAAATAATACAATCATCCAAAACACCATAAAATACCAGAGATTTAATGAAATGTTGAACTTTTACGCAAAAAAAATGTTATGTCATCTTTGTGTTTTTTTTACTACTGGTTGAACAAAACAAGAAATCACAAATATCTTAATTTAGAGGCATTGTAAAGGACGTTGCTCACTGTTGTAAGATGTCTAATAGACACATTATCGAGACAATAATCAGCATATATATTTTTTAGGCTAAGTGTATGTGTGCATTGAGGACAAGAACTGAGAGTTAAATGTTGTAATGTCTACACATACTCTGGCAATAAAGCTGACATTGAATCTGACAATACATCTTGGTTGTTCATTATAAGGATGTTATGCTGACGTTTGATTAGTATTGAGCAAATTGATTGTGAAAGCGTTTTATTTTGAAAATGGAGTCTTGTACTCTAGTTGAGGCTCATGTGTTTCCCTCCTGTGGCCACCAGAGTTAAGATTCACTGAAGAAGGGAACATACAGAGGTGCTGCAGGAGGAGGAGCAACACAGGTAGCTTCAGTGTAGCATTCCTGAAGTAAAACGCATTGTTGTTCGGAGCTGCAGTCAGTCAAGGCATGTCTCTGGGTTTTCTGTCTGACGAAATATTATACTAAGTTCATCAGGTCTTCTCAACAACTTACTCTAATACTGGTGAGTGCAACTTATAATTAACTGTGTTCCACCCGCCTTAACACAAAACTAACAGCTCTATAAAAGCAGGAAGTAACATTTCCGAATGACATGGTTTCACAATGTTGAAATAATCATGCTGTGATATATTTTTTTAAACAAATGATAGGTGTTAACTTTTCACTTTATATTACTTTGACTTCTGTTCTCAGACATGTCTTCTGTCAGCTGCCTGCTATATGAAGATCAGTTCCTCTGCTCCATCTGTCTGGATGTGTTCAGGGATCCAGTCAGCACACCATGTGGACACAACTTCTGTAATACCTGCATCATTGACCACTGGAATAGTAATGACAAATACCAGTGTCCTATGTGTAAAGAGGCTTTTGCCACAAGACCAGATTTGAAAGTGAATACTTTACTCTCTGAGATGGTGGCTCAATTCAGACAGTCGGCTCAACAGAAAGCCAGAAACAGCCGCAGCAGCAGCTCAGAGCAACAAGTCTTCAAACCAGGAGAAGTTCCCTGTGACGTCTGCACTGAAACCAAACTGAAGGCCCTAAAGTCCTGCCTGGTGTGTCTGACCTCCTACTGTGAGACTCACCTGGAGCCTCATCTGACAGCTTCAAGCCTGAAAAGACATCAGCTGACCGACCCTGTGGAGAACCTGGAAGACAGGATGTGTCTGAAGCACGATAAACCTCTGGAGCTGTTCTGTAAGACCGACCAGACATTTGTGTGTCTGCTATGCCATGTTTCAGACCACAAGATGCATGATGTGGTTCCTCTGGAAAAAGAATATGGAGAAAAGAAGGTCAAACTGTGGAAGATAGAGGCGGAAATTGAGCAGATCATCCAGAAAAGACAACTGAAGATTCAGGAGATCACACGGTCAGTCGACCTTGGTAAAGAAGATGCAGACAGAGAGGTAGCAGAAGGTGTTCGGGTCTTCACTGCTCTAAAGGATTCTGTTGAGAGAGGACTAAACGAGCTCATTCAAACGATAGAAGTGAGTCAGGAAATGGCACAGAAACAGGCTGAGGGTTTAATCAAAGAGCTGGAACAGGAAATCTCTGAGCTGAAGAAGAGAAGCTCTGAGGTTGAGCATCTCGTACGCTCTAAAGACTACCTCCATCTTCTCCGAAGCTTCCAGTCCTTTAAATCTCCTCCCCATACAAAGGACTGGACAGAGGTCAGTGTCTGTCAATCATACGAGGGGAATGTAGTAAGAAATGTGCGCCAGCTGGAGGAGACAATCAGTAAAGAGATTTTGAAGCTGCTTCCTGTGGCTGAGCTGAAGAGGGTCCAGAGGTGCGCAGTGGATGTGACTCTTGATCCTGATACAGCACAAGCTGAACTCAGACTGTCTGATGATAAGAAAGAAGTAAATCATTGTGGTGGGAAGAAGAAGAATCTCCCGGACAATCCAGAGAGATTTACTAATCGTACTTTTGTTTTAGGAAAGCAGGGTTTCTCTGCAGGCAAATTCTACTATGAAGTTCAAGTTAAGGGGAAGATAAACTGGGATTTAGGAGTGGTCAGAGAGTCGATCAATAGGAAGGGAGGAATCTCAATGAGCCCTCAGTATGGCTATTGGGCGATATGTTTGAGAAATGGAAATAGGTACAATGCTCATGCGGACCCTCCAGTCGGCCTCTCTCTGAGGTCTCAGCCTCAGAAGGTGGGGGTGTTTGTGGATTATGAGGAGGGTCTGGTCTCCTTTTATGACGTAGATGCTGCAGCTCTTATCTACTCCTTCACTGGCTGCTCCTTCAAAGGGAAACTGTTACCGTTCTTCAGCCCCTGTAATAATGATGGTGGTAAAAACTCTGCACCTCTGATCATCTGTCCTGTCAAGGCCTGACCTTATCATGACTACTTTATAGAACAATAAAAGCGTTGACAACGGTACATATAGTCATTAAATGCGTCTTTAACCTTTCATATCCACATTGTAAATGTGCACCAGAAAACATTTCATAGCACAAAAGCAGCAGAAAATAGGATGCGAATGGGTTACAGACATACCAAAAACACAAGCCTGGCTGATCCATTTTAAAATTAAAAGTATGTTTTGTTAATTTTTGGTAAGAAATGCTAATGTTTGTGAGGTAATGTGCAGTGATGTGGTCAATAATGAAAAAAGAACACGCCCTATACACACTACTTGTAAGACACTTTTATCCAAAGCGACTTACATACTCAATACTGTGGCCAATCACCACAGGAGTAATTTGGGCTGAAGTGTCTCAGGGACACAACGACATGCTGACTGCAGTGGGGTTTGAACCTGTGACCCCCTGATCCCAACACAAAGGCTCTATCCACTGCGCCATTAAACCTACAACTTGATTCAGAAAATTCATTGAACATTTTTTATTGATTCAAAAAGATTGGTCAATTTGCGGGCTATTAGCGTAAATTAACAGACCGCTAGGATGTCCAGCTGGACCAATCAGAATTGAGTATTCACCTAAACTGTGGAATAATTAGTATTAATGCAGTGTTCTTTATCATTTGTTTTATGAGCTTTCTATTTTTACTGTGTCTCATAAAAGTTACGTTTTTTCTTACTGTTAAAACTGTCAATTTGTTTTTGAATGTAATACTTCTTAGAGACAACATCTTTTTTTGTGTGGTTTCTGTTTTGCTCCACAATGTAGTGATAATTACGAATGGTTTACTTTGTGAATCACTGGACTGGGGATGCACTGATATGCAGTTATTTTAGTTATATCTTTGTTATTGGTATGAATGTTACTTAGCTCTTGGAACTATTCTGTTAATCTCTTTGGATGTTAATATAAACCATGTCTTTATTCAACTTTATAGAAAACTTTGATAACATGCAAGCCTTGTCACAAACCATGAAAGTGTTGGTATTTGGTAAAAGACCACGTGCCTTCACACAACAATACAGATAAGTAATTGAGATATAGAGGGAGAATATCATACTCAACTGACAATGACAGAGCTACTCAATTCAAACATATACGTTTTCATGATAAGATCCTTTATACTATGCTTTCTAGTTTTGTATCTACTCGTGTCTTTTTTAATAAAAGGTTTTAGTATGAAGCATGTTATGGACTGATTGTCCAGCTTTGCTTGGATAACATATGTATCAGATAACATTGATTTTTTAATGCTTTCCTAACGTCATGATAATATGGTTTTAAACCGTCTTTCATGCCTGTTGTGTTAGTGACCTATAACCAGATGCTATGATTGAACATAAAACAGACTTTGTGATCATTAATCTACCTCTGGTGAAGTACAAATAAATCATTTGTGGAAGTGTTATTTGAAACTGAACTCTCGGTCTCTATGCCACAGAGGTGTTTCAGTTTGGTATGGGTTATACCATTTGGGCAACCGTAGATATCCAGCGCCATTACACTCCACTAGAGAGAAAGAGTTTGGTTAAAGGCTTTTCACAGACTGCACAGCAAGACTATACTATCCTGGTATGATTGAGCAACACCATGACCACAGAAAAAGACCAACAAAAGAATGACACGCAAACGCGCTAAACAGTGGGGCCTTGACTTTGCACTGAGCTGAAGAGCACTGTTGGTCTTTTCTGAAGATCTAAGATAATTGTTCTTTTTGAGACAACCGTGCTACGTGCTTTAGAAATATGTAAAGTGTTTCTAAATGTTAAACCTATCTGTCTGCCCAGGTGTGCTNTTCCATGAGAAGGGCCATGTGGTATGTGCCATTGCGGTTGGTAGTGTCGTGGTATGGGTAGGGTGCGTCCTCTGGTCCAAGCCTTGCGTTGAAGTCACCCAGGATTGCCAGGAATTTGTGCGCTGAGACATCTCGGACTGCTGTTGCAAGGTCCTCATAGAACTTCTCCACTGTTGCACAGTTTATACTGTAGAAACTATGTCCAGGACAAGGTGTTTGGAAGTTTTGGAAGATTCATAGCTAACCATAGCAGGTCTCCCTTGAAAAAGAGATCAATGATCTCAATGGGATACACCTGGATAAATAAAGGTTTGAAATGAAATGAACCACACTGAAGATTATGGAGGTATCTTCTCATATTTGTATGCCTCAATTTGTCCTTC